ATGAATGATTATATCTATCTCTAGTGACTTCTGCAACTTAGATTACTGTTAACAACCTTTGTCTTGTTATAACCAGTTATATAACATGATACATTTTGTTTCTTTATTCAAGGGAAAAGGGGATATGCAGACATGGTGGATCACAGGACGTACTAGAGCTGATTTGGCGAAAGATTGCTGCCCACTGCCACTGAACTGGAAAAAAAGACTGAAAAAAACAGAACCTTCAAACCAAACTGAGAATCCATAACAAAAATAACATTCACACCATTCATGGATTGAAGAAAGCTTAGGAAGATCTTGTAAAGTGTTATATATCATATCGAATCTTCAGATTATATAAGATTATATTATTTATGGTGCTGAAAAGAGTGTTCGCTACAGTTAATGCATTTTAATCTTGACATCTTTACCAATCATTCTCATTTTTTTTCTTGAATAATGAATCCTACGAAAGTAAATGACTATTAAATTGTTGTCTCGGTGTTTGAACTACTAACAATTCAAAAGTAGCATAACAACAATTATGCAAATAGTGTTGACAATTTGAATGCTGAAGGTGTCATCTGAGTTTAAATGAATTATTCTTTTTAAAATTGCTTTGAATAAAATAGTGGTAGAAAATATTGGATCATCATTGTTATTCTTTAAATGCTACGTGTAAGAAAATTTGGGGATGATATGTTATCCGTTCACTCAACCAATCTTATTTACCATATGATTATTATAGTGTCATTATCCAGTTTTCTCAGATTCATCTTTGTTACACGAATTGAGCTAATGATCTGCTATTTCTTGTACGATCAGCCCACGTCTTAGTTACAATGGTTGTCTTTAGTCTCAGTTAATGACTTTTACATCAAAATCACTTACTCTAGAAAGGAATTTTCCATAATTCTGTTCTAACTACCACAAAGGAGTAGCTGAATTTTGAACACTCTATGTTGTAATGTAAATGCCAAAGATAGATCTAGGTCACAGACTCAGTAATAAAATCCTTCAAAATATGGAATAGAGTGAAGGAAAAATATCGCAAGTGAATTTATATTTAGAAACCATAACTTACCAAAACACGGATTCAGTTTTTCAGCCTACCGTAAAAATTTTCAACTTCATGAGGTTATACTCCTTGACAGCTTTCTAAGGACATACGTATGATATATTTTGAAAATCATACTGAATCCTTTGAGCTTCTAAATACAAAAGATAAGTTTCCGTAAACCACATAAGTGCTATAGAAATGCTGACTTTCACCAGTGTTTTTAAGAGATTATAGCGTTTCTTGGTTATTTATTCTCTGAAGAAGTGGTTTACACTAAGTCACGAAACGTCAGAAAATCTAATTTTTTCATGATGTTTTCTGAGTTTTCTTCATGGTATACACTGAATAAAAGCCTCAACATGGTTGGTAGAAAACAGATTTTTATTGGCTGCATAATGTCATGATAAGACATAATTCACAGCAGCACAGTGTATAACCTCCTAATATACGACATTATTGACTTTTTTGTTTATCAGACTCCTAAAGACTAAGTAGCGTATGGAACTCTCAAGCATTGAGCACTTTGAGACTATACTCAATCATTTAGTTAATCATAAGCGAATGATTTCACACTGAAAATTATTATTGACAAATCCCTATTATTTTTAGAAATTGTCTTAAACAATGTTATTTAACAGGTTTGATTTCATTTTGCCTTGTTATAATAAAAGTATAATTGGTGAGATATATATTATTATTTTAGAGATAGTGAAATGCATATGTATATAAAGAATTAGATGTTAAGAGATTTAATATGATTTAAATCGTGTATCTCTCAAGAATTTCCATAGTAGCCATAATGTCACCTGAAGATATTTGATTTGATTGTTTGTTAATAATTATATAATCATCAATTGGTTTAATAATTTAAAATGCTTTTCTTCAAATTGACTCACAATCATATGATGGTTTGTTGTTTTCTTCATTAATTGAAGCATTTGATCTATGTCAATCTGGTTATTTAGTGAACAATATTCAGCCTTTTGATTGATTGACTTTTATGATACTTTTATTTCATATTTTCGTTGAATTTAACTATTGATAAATACATCTAAGTATAAAAAATATCTACGTTTAAGGATGAAATATCACATAGATTGTTGATGATACAACTGTAAGTATTTGAAAATCATTAAATCTTAATGTTGATAAGTAATTTATTCAGTAATTGTAGACATTTCTAAGTTAGTCAGTGATATACCTTTGAATATTTCAGTTGTGCCTTATTCTTTTATTCATTTCTTTCTTTCACTGAGTAAAATAATGTTTGGAATTTAAAATCAGTAATGTATGTAATGTGTGCCATTTCATTTTGAAAACAAGTCCTACGACTAATGACATGGTAAAAGGGTGTATGGTCTGACAGCTTTGGTTAATTTGAAGAAAATAAACTTTGACCGTCAAACAATACATTCACTGCATACTTGTAAATCTGGATGCCTTTAATAGTCACTTACTTCAACTCTATTATTTCTGATTGAGATCACGTATCGATGGATGTTGGACCATGACTGATAACCTGGAAGCACTGAACAGTCGTTTCGTCATATTGTGAGGTCCCTCAGCAGAGCACATTCACGATCCCGCATGCAGGACTCGAACCCAGGACATTATGTCTATACAATTTACCAAGACAAATTATAGCCTCTAGTGCTTAGAATCGAAACAAAGAGATAAAAACAGTATGCTGTTTTGTAACTTTGATCAACCGTAGTTTTAATGGAGTCGGTTTACTATTGGGAAAGGTTACTGTTGATGCAAGGCCGGTTATATTAATTTATATCACACAAAGTTACACATCATTATACAAACCAGTCAAAAGTAACACTTTTAGTCAGGGCAGTAGTAATAATTGGTGGTGACAAGATCATATAGATTTCGAAGTTAAAGTAAAATAGTAGTAGATGATATTAACAGATGTTAGTCATCGTACATAGAAATAGTAACCAGTGAATCCCAGATCGATCGGTTAGAGTGAGACATTCGGAGAGAGTTATGGTAATTTTGAGTCAATCTATGGCCAAGTTGGGAGGATCGTATAAATTTTAAAAGTTCTGAATTCGAAGAACCAACTGTAAACTCTAATTCTTTTAGTGATTTCTTAACTGATATCAGTCTGTGGTGTTAATCATTTCGAGACTAAACCAACCTCCACAGACTGTTCGGCTAGGAGATGAATTTTATGTTAATTCAACATTAAAAGAAAATATTCTTCCGTTTTTTTTCCATTTTAGGGTATTATTATTATTATATCATAACTAACCATATTTTAAAAAATTTAAATTACTTTATAATGATATATTACATTGCCGTCTTAAAAGCGAAAGTCATAATTAATAAAAATGATATCCTTGTTCACTAATAACAATTCATAATATTATGATAATTTATTGAATATTCGATTTCATCAGTCTTCATGTTTGTCATTAACTTGTGTAGACACGCATGTATGTATATATTTGTATGATAATTACGGCTAACAATTTGGTTGTAAGGTCTTTGAATCCGTACGGTTTTGTGGAGTTTGTTATGCTTTTGGTTGAAATCACGAATCGATTGAAAAACCCGAAGCACTGGATAGCCACTTTGTTCCAGTGAGCACTCACAACTCGAACCCAGGATGATCTCAATCAAAAACTTTACAATCTTTACAACCACATACTCTGAACTCACTAGTGACTAGCTTCGTGAGAGAATTCTCGGAGTTTTAGTGCGAAACCGTGACCAATCATGCTAGTCCATATTAGGTAGAGATAGATAGCTACTTCAGTGCTATGTTTAAAATGATTTCGAGTTCACCCAGTCTGCTAACTGAACAAAGACTCTGTGGCCAGAAACTGATAAGCTAGCTCTTCTGATGCGTCCCAGCACTGCTAACCAGAGAGAGAAGTCCAAGTTCGAAACAGGGAAACATATTCCACAAGCAGCAAGAAGCACGAGCGACCACGACAAGTCTAGTCGGTGACACACTCATTTATATATTGGTTTGTACACCTATTTTTGATTTATAATCAGAATAAATTATATATATGAAAAATAGTTCATACAAGAATATTATATGTTATACAGAATAAAATGTCATAGGGAAAAACAGCAACGAAACTATACTGAGTGATCATTAATTTGAATTAAATGGAATTAATGTTGAATAAAAATCATAATGAGTAAATAAATGTAATTTTGATTTTTCATTACGACAATTGAAGATGCCGCCTCAGTGGTCTAGAGGTTTGCGCGCGAGAGTTACGGTTAATGCAGTACTCCCAGTTTATATATATATATATATATATATATATATATATATATATATATATATATATATATATATATATATATATATATATATATATATATATATATATATATAAATGTGTCTATGCATTAGACTGGGTGTATCCATCAAGAAAAAATGATATACAATAATGTATGTATGTGTCTTATCTGTTTAGTGTATAAGTACACTTTGTATTATCAACAATTTAAATTGATAAAAATCGATTTATATTCAACCAATCTCATTCATTTTAATAATAATAATAATAATCATAAATGTTCATTTGTTCATTAACTCCATCTAATTAAACAATGGAAATTTATTTATTTCATTCTTATTAAAAAGACCTATTTATCAGTTTCAATTAAAAAAAACTTTCTTTCTAATTTGATATGTGAAATTAGTATCAAACAGCACATTTTTCAGTGATTATAACAAACAGCTAACAACATCAACACCAACATGAACAACAATATCAACACCGACATGAACAACAACATCAACACCGACATGAACAACAACGACAACACCAACATGAACAACAATATCAACACCGACATGAACAACAACATCAACACCGACATGAACAACATCAACAACATCAACATGAACAACAACGACAACACTGACATGAACAACAATATCAACACCGACATGAACAACAACGACAACACCAACATGAACAACAACATCAACACCAACATGAACAACAACATGAACAACAACATGAACAACAACATGAACAACAACATCAACATGTTAACACATTCTGAACTTGCTGATAATTTAATAGAACAATCTAAATTATTTCATCAATTATATCATGATAATTTAATGAAAATGACAGCAAAATTAAATGATTTTCAAAGAATTCGTACATTAGGACATGGTGGTTTTGGTCATGTTCTATTAGTACGTCATATTTATACAAATAAATATTTTGCATTAAAAATATTATCTAAATTACAAATAATTAAAAATCATCAAATATATAATGTAATTAATGAAAAACGTATATTAGCTGCATGTAATTTTACATTTATTATACCATTATATTATAGTTTTAAAGATAATAATAATTTATATTTAGTTATGGAATATGCAATAGGTGGTGATTTATTTACATTATTACGTCATATGAAACAATTTTCAAATGAAATGGTTAAATTTTATAGTGCTCAAGTATTATTAGCATTTGAATATTTACATTATTTAACAATAATTTATCGTGATTTAAAACCAGAAAATCTTTTAATTCATTCTAATGGTTTTATTAAATTAACTGATTTAGGTTTTGCTAAATTATTACCTAAACATAAACGTACATGGACATTATGTGGTACACCAGATTATATGGCACCTGAAATTATATTAAATAAAGGTTATCATAATTCAGTTGATTGGTGGGCATTTGGTATATTATTATATGAAATGACTACTGGTTATCCACCATTTATGCATTATGATCAAATGAAAACATTTGAATTAATTATTATTGGTGATATTAAATTTACAAATCATTTTAATCCATTATTAAAAGATTTAATAATGAATTTAATACAAATTGATTTAAGTCGACGTTATGGTAATTTAAAAAATGGTATTTATGATATTAAAAATCATGATTATTTTAAAGATTTAAATTGGTTACAATTATATCAATTGAATATTGAACCACCATATAAACCATTATATAATAATAATAATAATAATGATTTACAAGAGATAAATCATTTTGATTATGATAATGAAATTAATTTTAATATTGCTGAAAAAGAACAATTTGAAAATAGTTTTGATGATTTTTGAAATCCTTTTTTTTGTTTGTTTGTTTTCATGGATTCATTCAATTTCGATTTGTTATGGTTGGTTTAATTGATTGATATGAATTATAATTCATTTCTTAATTCAATGTTAATTATGTAAGAAAATATAGAAAGAAAGAAAAGAAGAAAGAAAGTATAGTGTAAAATATCACCAGGTAAATTTGATGTGATAACTTATTGAAGAGTAAACTTACAACATTGAAAATTGAACATAATTAACTAGAAAATAAATTATTCCTTTTTTTTTTCTTATTAGATTATATCAAAATTAAAATATTCTATGTAATTGATAAATCATATACGTACATCATTTACTTCGTTTATTATTTAATTAGTTTACTTATTTTCACAATACTTTTCTTATTTGATGTTTTTGTTTTTATTTTAAGTGAAAATAGAATGATCTTTTTTCTCTCATAAGCATTCTCAGAGAATAATTGAGTTTTTAATGTTTATATTACAGTTTGATGTAACGGTTGAGCACTCATTTCGATGCTTGAAGTTGCTGAGTTTCATCCCAGGTGCGATTATGCATAAGTGCTGTTAAGGTATCTCATAACTATTCAGTGTTTTATGATTTCTATTGGTTGCTTAACTAAGATCAATCTATGAAGTTAACTATGAAAATTTTATTATTCAATAAATTTCTGGGATTGTTAATCATATATATATATATATATATATATATATATATATATATATCAGTGGAGATAGTAGTATTAGTATCACTACTACTACTACTACTACTACTACTACTACTACTACTACGATTAGTTGTATTAGTAATAACAGTAGAAATTCAATGCCATAAATCCTGACTCGGATAGGAAATTTAGAATTGCAAACACCTTCAGTAAGTTTATTTACAGAGTTTTGAGAATAAAATAATGGAATATAACGATTATTGTGATACTGGTTGATTATTTAAAAAAAAGAAACCGTTGTATTCCTAATGAATTATAAACTAATGATGAACAACATTTTCTTTCTTCACTTTCATTGTAATAGCTAAATTGTTCAACAGAAGTAGTCTTTGTGAAGATATTGTAAGATTGGATTAAAGGCTCAGTTTGAATTGAAGTTATCTGGGTAACTGTAAAAAAATCATGAGATTTCATAATGTTGTTTTCTATTGAGTGTGAAGCGTCAAATGCTCGTTTACTTTTACAGCGTCCCGAACTTCAATAAAACAAATATCTAGTTCTCTTCGATACTCATTGTTATTTTCCTAAAGCTGACGATTTGTAATAAAAATTGACCATCTGTTGCGAACTTAAAAGAATCACAGATGGCTATGAATTCGGAAGTAAATCCTGAAATTATTGTGAGTCGGACGTCGATCGAATATTGAAAAAAATATACTTCACACAATGAGCTCACCTATTATGAAGAAAATATTTAATTTTATAAGTGCTGACTTTGTAATTGTCTTTCAAAATTAAACATCACATGAGTCAAGACAAAGCAAACGTAAAACATATTCTTGCAGCATTTAAATGCTAAGATATAATCCAGTTAACCGTGCTTACTCCTACCAAACCAGATATCAAGACATCAGAAATTTAGGGGATTATACACATACCATTCTGACACTAATAATCTATCGAAGTAGATGCTTCTCTAGATGTGGTTTGATGGTATTTAAAAATACCGAAATTTTTACCTAACTATTTTTACTTTGGATTATTCCTTATGTGCAAAGAAAGGGCCCAATACGGTTTAACGTAGAAATCATTACTAATCTATGAAGCCGAATGATTTGTAAAGGTATTGTGATACACTGAAAACTGTGAAAGCCAAATTTAAGACATTTGATGCTTACCCTAAATAGATTGTAAAACAGAGCTTAAATGTTCCTTAACAGAATTTCTGTTCTTTTGTACATTAACCAAAGGTGAACATAGAAAATGCCTTATCAACACCGTATGCAAATAGTTGTTCTTGATAAAAGTCTCCTCTAAAAAACCAACATTATTCACAAACAGTTTTAACACAAATGAATCATTGAAGACACTATCCACCTAACAGTAAATTACAGTAATTACATCATTTAAATGTAATTCAAATGTATTAACAATTCAATAATCCAACATTTTTAGATAACCTGAAATGTTTAACAGAATAAAATGATTAATGTCAATGAATTTATTTTAAAAGAATAAATGACTGATTTCATCATAAACAAATAAAGCAATAGAAGTACAATTAATATCCATGAAACATAGAAACTAATCAAACCATTTTTTTCAGAGGGCAACTTTTCATTATGAATTCTTAATAAAACTAAATCCTATCGAATTAATTCAAATCAGTTTAATTTACACACAATAATACAAATGGATACAGATATATAACAATGAATAGAATAAATAAAGTAGGATTGAATAATGTCAGTCATTCATATGTTGATTATTTATACAGTTCATGACCTTAAATTTCTGTCCTCAAGTTATTCGAATCAAATAGATTATGTATAGGCAGCTTATAACAAAATGTATACTATTTGTGTACTATCATAATTTGAATGAAATTTTTTTAAAAAAAATATTGACATTTCAGCAAACTGTTTATAATTTATTCAGTAGTATATAAATAAGATGATCATAAATTTCGATTTCGAACTTGAAATTAATTTCCGTTTTGAAATAATTCAGTGAATTAATTTATTGTGAATAAACAAATTTTGAAAGATCTATTGGCTTATATTGTAATCGACGTACTTAGTTACTGAAGAAATACATATCTCATTAAAGTAATGTAAGTGGAATAAGAAAAAGAAGGGAGTTATTTACGATTACTTAATGACATTATCAGTAAATAACAATGCAAATGAATTTAACAGTTACTGGATCTTTGAATTATGGAATGTTTTGGTTTGTTTGTTCCTAGGCTTCTTCGAATCTGAACTTGTGATAGCTACTATTGAGTGTCAAGATAGGTGATGAATTAACCACTCAGACGAGTATGAAAATAACGGATCTCAGTTGTTTAGAGAAAACAGATCATGTCTTAATGAGGCAACTGAAATAATTTCTGAGATTTGGTGCAAATTATTACAGAGTGGCTGTTATTGTTATTTTTATGAGGAAATTTTCTGGAAAAGCACATTGGTTACTACTTAAGAAACATCAGTATACAAATATATCTTTTAAGATTAAACTAACTGGATTTATTATACATGAAGTATATTGATGTTGCTCAACATCAATTGTCAGAATTGAGTTGCATTTTATCATATAGATTTTAAGTGCTTTATGAAATATTAACGAACAAATGATCTTGATATTTTTTTGAGAGTAAATAGACGTTTATCCTGTTGCACTTTGAAAAGAGATCAGAAGCTGTATAAGGTTGAACTATTTTATAGTTTTCAGAACAGTTTTCACTTTGATTATCTTGATTACTATCAAATAAATGTTTTAATGAATTATGTTAATCATTTTGAAATAAATGGACTTTCCTAGAACACAAGGGAAAACCAAGGTCCTCAAATACAACACCGAGAACAGCAATCCAATCACACTTGATGGAGAAACTCTGGAAGATGTAGAATCCTTCGCATACTTGGGAAGCATTATCGATGAACAAGGAGGATCAGATGGAGACGGAAAGGCGAGGATTGGCAAAGCAACGACAGCATTCCTACAATTGAAGAACATATGGAACTCAAAACAACTTTCAACTAATATCAAAGTCACAATCTTCAATACCAACTTCAAAGCAGTTCTACTGTACGGAGCTGAAACTTGGACAATTACAACAACCACCGTCAAGAAGGTACAAGTTTTATAAATAGCTGTCTTCACAAGATACTCAACATCCATTGGCCGGATACCATCAGCAACAGCCTTTTGTGGGAGAGAACAAACAAGCTTCCAGCTGATTAGAAAATGAGGAAAAGATGATGGAAATGGATAGGACGTACATCAAGCAAATCATCAAACTGCATCACGAGGCAAGCCCGAACTTGGAATCGTGAAGTGAAGCGGAAAAGAGGAAGGCGAAAGAACACATAACGTCGGGAAATCGAAGCAGATATGAAAAGGATGAATAATGACTGGAATAAGCTGGAAAGGATTGCTCAAGACAGGGTGGTAAGGCGGGTGCTAGTGAGTGACCTATGCTCCTTCACGAGGAGTAACAGGCCTATGTAAATAAGTACGAAACTTGGGTATTCACAAAAAATATTTTCCTGTAAACCACTTTGAAACAAAAAATAACCATTGGTCCAACTTATCGATCTCATTATCGGTTAGTGATGTTTATGAGTTACGGCATGGTTTAAAACCAAGTTTTATTTGTATCAGAGATGATATACAATTAAAACACGAAATATTAATTTTTCTCTGGTATAGTATAGAACTAACTATTGACTGTTTAACGAACATGTTTTGCCTGCAGTTATATGTTGTTAGATTTAACTGTCTATAAAATAGACTTGTCAGTAGAAGTCACTTTAAATACTTTAGTTAGGAAGTCTAAAACTGTTGCCAAATTTATATATATATATATATATATATATATATATATATATATATATATATATATATATATATAAATAGTACAACTATTCTAGTCTGATAATAAGACACTAAATACTGTTCCATATAATCATAACTATAGTAAACTTTGTGACGAGAATGTTTTTGTCATTATTTATATATATTATTCTACTTATTAAGCTCGTGACTTAAGGCAATATCAAGGCAATCCGCACAGGATGCACATATGCCAGCAAAAGACTGATCAATTGTATTCATAAATAACAATGGGAAGATACAAGTAAATAACATCAAGTGGATCTAAAACTTCATCCCATTACACAAGCAGGTGGCTATTGGAACTCAGTAGCTAAGTGGATAAAGCGATGGCGTTTGAAGCAAACGGTAGTTAGTTTGAGTCCTAGAGTGAGCATCAACTCTGAGACTCAGGTTTATCCAGCCGACGAGTTACAAATAGGACGAAACGCACGTCCTTGATTCCACTGCTAGCCACTACCCATCTTCGTTTCCCTATAGGATGTTTGAATATTTATTTAATAATGCTTAGTATTCTACTTATCATCAAATATGACTAAAGTATATTGTGTTAATATAACATAAATATTTTATATGTATTGGTTGTTTAAATCTTCTATTGATGTTAATTAGTCTCTTTTAGGCGTATGTGCATTCTAAATGGATTGTTTCAATATTGCCATTGAGTAACAAGCATTATAAGCGATGATGGAAAATTCAAACAGCCAATACAAATGAACTGAGCTCCACTGCATTGCAGAAACGGCTATCTGGACTCAGTAGCTAAGTAGATAATTCGGTGACGCTTGAAGTAATCGGTACTGGATTCAAGTTACGGAATAGACATCAACTGTGGAATGCAGGTATATCCAGTTTATAAGCTCCAAATAGGCCGAAACGTGTGTGCTGCATTTCACTGCTAGTCACCAGGCATCTTTGCTTGTAATTGTAAATAATACATGTCAAATAGGGTTTTATTCTCAAAACTCACCATCGTTTCACACATAAAGCATCGGTTGTTTAAATGAATGAATTATTATTTAAAGGATTCAATGTTAAACGCATCTATAGATGAATATACTGAGCACAGTATTATCATTTAAATATCTTAGTCATAATTTTCTCTGGAACTTAAATAGTCATCCCACAGTGACAAAATTTAAAAAGAAATAATGGTATAGTAGAAAATATCATTAAATTTATTCAACATGATATCAAGAGTCTTTCCTATATGTTGATTTACTTGTACATTGACAAGTACATTCAGTTACAATTGGTAAATGTATTCTATACCAGTTACATTTAGATAAAGGCCATTTATCAAGGCATATATAACGTAATATAACTATATTTTTTGTATTTTTTTCTTGACAATACATTCCAGGTGGTAATGAACATGATGTATTAGCTAAATTAACACATTGACCAATTTTAATCCATCTTGGCCAAAATTTTAATCCGAAATCATACCATATATAATATAATGGACAATTATTATAATCATTTAAAAATTCTTTTAGAATACGTTTTAACTGACGATTATTTTTTATTTGATTTTGTTTAAAATATTGTTGATTCAATTGAAAATGTAACAATTTTTCATTAAATTGATTTTTATATTTTAAATTTTGTATTAATTTTAATCGATATATTATATTTTGAATAAATCGATTGGAATTAGTATCTATGGCATTTTGTTTTTTTCTTTTTTTATAGAAATTATAAATATTCATCAATTTTTGATGATTTTTTGATTTAATTTTATGTAATTTACGATTTTTATTGAATAATAATGATATTGGTTCAAATGTATTTTGTTTAATTGATAAACTGAATTGACCATTTGGATACATAAACGCTTCTAATGGTTTATTAAATGACATAAATTCATAATTAAAATTTTGTTTACCTAATAAATGAATCATTTCATTATGATTTAATAAGACATGATTATAAAATGGTCGTTCATTAGGTATGAATGGAATATGATTAGGGTATATAGTTAACTGGTTAGTTTGAAGTATTTGATTCATTGTTTTAAAATTTGAATTCATTTCTGCTTTTAAATTAAATTGATCATCTTTTTTTAATTTTTGAAAAATATTTACATTATCTGATGTTTGTAAATTATGATAAAATTGTAAAGGTTTTGTTTTATTAAATTTAATTGTTGTCATATTATTAATTTCATTGTTTGTATTAGGTGTATAATATAAAGTTGGTTTTTGTATTTGATATGAATTTATATTTCGATTTTGAAATAAATACCATAAATAATTTGAAATATTCGATTTATCAATTAAGTTACCATGGTTATTAATAAAATTCACATTTTGTAAATCATTAACAATATATGTTGATTTTGATGTAATTCGATTTGAATAAATAATGAAAGGTAAATCAATGAAAATATATAGGAATATTATTAATTGAATGTATATATTAGACATTGTAAAAGATTAATCAATATATATTGTATAGTGAACATATATCCTATACACTGTACATATTTAATAATTATAGTTGCTAAGGTGATTATGAAATTTTTATTTATATCATAATTTGATTTATTAAAATTGAAATTATTTATTTATTTATTACTTGAAATTGAAAATACAAATATAATTTCATGTTTATTATTCAATTGATAAGTAGTATGTTAAATTACTTTTGTTTTTCTTTAATTATTCCATCTGGTCAATTGAAATAGAATTATATTTGATTAATTTAGATGTTGTATAGCGGTAATAGTTGGGATATAAGTTATTTGTCTTTATAAATGAAACATATTTTTTTGTATTGTTGTATTGTTTCAGCTGACCTTGAAAGTTTTGTGAATAGGTAAAATGTTATTTTTCTATTCCTTTTATTATAAACAAAATAGACATTCATAGATATCGTTTGGGGGATGGGAGGTTAGGTGATAGGGAGAAAACAAAATCAGTGATATTTTATATTGACCAATAAGCGATTGGTTTTCTGAATTTATAAATTTGTTCATTGTGTGTAGAATAACTTTTACTCTAAAGAAGTAATTTTAATAAATTGATTTCATCTCAACTGAGAAAAATCATAAATAATAGTTGATTGGGAATTTTGTATAGTATGAACATAATGTTCATTTACTACTAAAGATTAGGTTGATTATTTCTCTTAGTTACCAATTGAAGGGGATCTATTGTTATTTACAAGTAGACAAGCCATCTAAATTAGAAAAAAAAGAACATTAGAAACTCATCACATTCCAATGAAAAGTAAATTTACTTTCCAGTATTTTCATTCAAATAATCACTTACTGTAGTATGCTTTTCTTATGATAATAAGATGTATTAATTCATACAAAAGAATTCTGTATTACAGATTTTCATCAGCTTGCACAAATATAAACGGTAATGAAGAATCAACCAACTTTTTGAGTTGCGCTAATAACTTTCAGACATTGTTGAATAAACGTTTCTATGTTCCTGAGTTATGGATGTACACTGTTGAAAAAATCTATACTGGGACGAAGCGGACGTCCAGTGCTTCCAGGTTTGTAATGAAAGTCAAACTCAGGTTAATTTGTGACTTCAAAAATGAAAAGACTACAATCTTCACAAATCCCTTATATTAGGTAAGAATCAGTTGAAATTAAAATTGTAAAAATCATATCCGTCTGACAACTAGCGGATTACGCTTCAAGTTAACTTTGATTTAATTAACTAATATAGTAATAATCACCACAAACCTATACTGATAAAATAAAATGACAATATAAGAAATTGGAATGACTAACTCTATAGACCCTATAAGCTATGTAATTCAGTTAATGAAATTATATTTTCACAGATTGAAATCATGAGTCAGTTGAAGCTAGACCACCACTGAAAACCTGGAAGCACTGGACGGCCGTTTCGTTCTAGTATGGGACTCCTCAGCAGTGCGCATCCACGACCCCGCAACTTAACCATTAGACCACTGAGCCACGAAACGGCCGTCCAGTGCTTCCAGGTTTTCAATGGTGATCTAGCTTCAACTGACTCATGATTTCAATCTGTGAAAATTTCTGATAATAATAATCACCTGCTCACTAGTGTCGTTCAGAAGAACGATGAAACCTCCACGACCAAACCATCCAGCTCAGAGAACAAAACTCCATCAAAATAAGTCCACTCATGGAAATCATTCTTGTGAAAAATAAAAGAGTATGAACAAAAACTGTTACCAATAACTTACTATCAAGGTCTTAATAACATGAACAAATCAATAGTAAATTTAATGTATTAATGCCTAGAGAATACTGTAGTTTTGTGGTGTGAGCTACTTATATTGATATAAGTAGTATATATAACGTACGTTAAAGGAACGTAATGTCTGGTAGCGGAAGATGGCGAAGATCAAGAAAGGTAGAACGAGAACACATTGGAATTTGTAAGAAAATGCATGAACAATGGAATGGGAGACAGTGGATTGGTGATTGCAACAGAAACAGTCCAGTTTGGTTACTATATGATATTCAGATTTTATTGAGATAGACTGTAATTGTTGTGTTAAATACATCCGTTTGTCCCCATCCGTGTTCTTATTCACTACAGTTTACTTATTCTATAGGTTTTAAACTTAAGAATTATAATGATTTACCGTAGAGGCTAACACCATTCAATCTAAACTACTAGAACATCATTATTAAATCTGTGAACATTTCTAAAATCTCCACAAAACACATTCTGATAATAATAATCACCTGCTCACTAGTGACTGACTTCAGGAAACACTTCTGGAGTTCTAGTGCGCAGTCGTTACCAGTGGAGTTCAACCAGGTCTGTTGTGAGATAGGAACTCACTGAAGACAATGGTGTACGGTAGCGCAACTTCGTGGATTGGTTGAAGTTAGACATTAACACCGTTGGACGCCGGCTCAGTGGTCTAATGGTTAAGTGCTCGCGCGAAGCCAGTAGGTCCTGGGTTCGAGCCGCGGGTGGTGCGTGGTCGTGGGTGCGCACTGCTGAGGAGTTCCATACTAGGACGAAACGGCCGTCCAGTGCTTCCAGGTTTTCAATGGTGGTCTAGCTTCAACTGACTCATGATTTAAATCTGTGAAAAATTCTAAAAATCTCCACAAAACACATTCTGATACTAAATAAACAATTTTTTTTCATTTACATTTTTAGTTTTCTCAAAAATACCCCTAAAATCAATAAATTTAATATTATTTCTTTATTCTATTCTAATTAATTTATTATTCGAACTTATACATTGATTTAATGGTGCCTATCTCATTCTCTCACTCTCACTCTCTCTTTCTTTTCCTCTCTCTTTTTACACAATTTTATTCATAAAACAAACTAAACATTATTTCTTTTACTATAAACAACAATCATGTAGATAATCTACATATTGAAATAAATATTTACCATATTACAGAGACAAAATAACTTTTTTTTTCTTCATATTTATTGTGATATTGTTTTTTACTGTGGACAAAAAAAGAGAAAAAAGAAAAAAAAGAAAAAAAGTAATAATATTGATGAATATGTGAGACAATATGTAGTGAATAACGTTTTTTCCTCTCTCTCTCTCTCTCCCTTTTTTCCTCTTTCCAAATTTATTACACTGAATTATACTCTTTAAATAACATCTCCAAACCCTAATCTTCCTGATCACTGCTTACACTCTTGCTACCTCTACCACTACGGGATTTGGATCGACAACTGCATCTCTGTGTTAAGGTGGTGTGGCAACTCGAACTGATGTACGTACGTACGAAGTTCTACATTGTTACTGACTGACTGACTGATTCTACAATCTTTCTCTATACTTTTTTATGTGTGTGTGTGTATTTGCTTGACAACTTGAATAAAGATATTCAAAAGAAAATAGTTTGTTATTCTTATCATGGTAACTATTATTATTTGTATATTTTAGTTACCTGTCAGTATTCATCGTAAATTTTATTTAGTTTGATTATTATCGGTAGTTTATTTATAATAATGGTGATAATAACATTTAATGATGAAGTATATATATGTATGGACACTGAAATGACAATTTATGGTGCCAATGTCGTGGGGCTTTATTTAAACAAAATAAACTTTATAATGTTTTGATATATACATAGAAATAGAATCATAAAAAGTATTTCTGTAATAAACGAAAATTATCACTGAAGATTTACATACACATTGAATGACTGTAATTAGGCGCCATAATATTATACAATTTACATTTTTGTTCAAGATAAATAAGGCGCCATACTTGATTATACGACACAATATAAGAGATTTAATAGAATTTATGAACATTACCATAATTATAATACACATTGTGTCGTAATATGTAAACGCATAAAAATAAATGGTACTTTGTTTTCAAGTTTGTAATGCGTTTATCAATGTCATTTAGTGCATGTTAATTATATAGACATTGGAAAATTGAAATAAGTAAGTTTATACCTGTTCATCATGCATAAATAGTAGATTAATCAAATGTTATTATTTTTCTAAAATATGTTTAGTATTTAATTAAAATGAACAGTTAACTTAAGGTAATTACCATGTGAAGGTAGAAAAGCATTCACTATAACAGTTATAAATATGTAGGTAAATATCTAAATGAAAGACGAGTAGTAAGTGAAAGCGGAATTATAGAAAATTATTGTCATGAATTGATCAAAACGGTGAACATGGATGGAATTTGAATTTATTATATTAGAGTTGATTGTAGAACAAGTAACTCTTAACAGGTTTGGATGTCATACTGAAATTTCGGTTTACAATTGATTAGCCAGTGAATATGAACGAGTATCATGTTATCTAGTCCCACAGCGCGGAATGAATTTCACCAATCAATTGTAAAATCCGTCTTACAGTAGGCAATTCGCTGCTCAATGTTTTAAACTATGAACGTGGTTGCTGGTGGTTGAAATCCTACAAGAAACATCACTTCCAAGTAGCATAAAATCTAGGTTCAGACTATCCTGACGACTATTCTCAGCAAACGGAAACTATAAGAATTTCGAGCTTGTAAACTTATATTAGAAATCATGTAGTTAAATCGCTTGAATAATGAAATATGTAACCACACTTACAGCACAATGGGATTTTTCTAATCTCTTATCTCAAATCAAACACAAAGCTGTCGACTATCAGCTATTTCATGTGTGTTCTTTGTTTAACAATCAACCAAAAGATCTTAGTTGTTAGGAAAATTCAGAAAGTATATTTTGTTTCAAATCTCCAATAAGCTAGATTAAAGTTTATAGCATCCTCGATTAACCAATCAATGTTATTAGAAATTACTAATCACAATAGGTAGAATCGACCTCATTAAATACTATTTAAGTATTTAATAACCATGTACCTCTTGAACTCATATCACTTTAATAGAAAAATTAGAACCCCCCAAGGTTTAAAACTTCAAATACTACTTAAAAGTCTGAATGAGGATATTTCAAGAAAAAATCCATGTTTTC